ACATCTGGTCGAATACCACTGTCATATCCATCATATACCACCTTTCCAATTTTATATTTTGAAATGTCTTTTGACCTTCGATATTACAAAAAAAAAATTTTTAGGCGCCCGTATGAAACCATGCTCGGTTGCATTTTGTGACATAGAAATATCAAAATAATATACTCTACTCATTAATAAATTTGCTACTTCGACACTTTTTGGAATGAAAGGTTCAGCCTGAACAACATTGCTTTTAGTTAGGCTCGATCTACTTTTCATGTTAAAATCTAGGGGGGAGGGGCTAGATGTGTCTATGGGCATAATGAGGGTGCGGCACCTGAAACAACTTGCTTCTTTTCTTTGCAAAAAATGAATGGATTATGCAAAAGATTAATTTTGGAGTCGCTCCTGCGCCCTCCTCTACAATAATCCTTACTCGATCTTAAACTTGAACCCAAGAATGTTTTCCGTCGTGGCCCACACGTCAGCAGCCGCTTCAGGCGAGCGCGCGATCTCTGCGGGTTCCTGGAGAGACGGGTATCCTCTCATCGAAGCAATGCCGCCTGGACCGTAAAAATCCCCATTCTTCACATCAGGAGCGACAGCGGCGTATAGGGTGGGTAACGCGCCCATCGCAGTTGACTGAGTCAACGTCGCGTTCATGAAGTTGTAAAGCCAGCGTTTGAGAAAGATTCCCTGGTTTCCAGCGTTGCTAAGGAGACTCGAGTCAGTCGCTCCAGGGTGACAAGCAACCGAGGTGATGTTGGAAATCCCGGCGGATTCCAAACGACGACCCAGTTCGAATGCGAAGAACAAGTTGTACAACTTGGAGTTCCCGTACACGGTAGTTTCGCTGTGCTTGTCCTCGGGCATAAAGAGTTGACCTGGGGTGTATTTCGCTGAATGGTGCATGCCACTACTCAGAGCAACCACACGAGCTGACGGGCTACGCTTCAAGGCGTCCATCAATGACGCAGTCAGCGTGAAGGGTCCCAAGTGGTTGGTTGCTACCATGAGCTCAAAGCCGTCGGAGCTTTTCTTGTATGGTAAGCCCATACAACCAGCGTTATTCACGAGGATGTCGAGTTTCTGATGGCGCTTCAGAAACTCGTCACTGAACGTCTTGACACTGCTTTGTGAGCTCGTGTCCAACGTGATCTCTTCGATACGACCGTGGCCTGGATCTGCCTTGATCTCTTCTCGGATGGCCTCAGCGGCAGCAGCACTGCGCTCGGGATTGCGGCAAGCCAGAACAACATCTGCGCCGTGACGAGCAAGCTCGATGGCTGTGATGAAGCCAATACCAGAGTTGGCTCCAGTCACGATAGCGATCTTGTCTTTCAACGATGGGATGTTAGAGGCGTCCCACTTGTCCGGGACCGAACGCGTCTGGGTGTTGGTTCCGTCTTTCTTGCAAGGCATGATGATAGAAGATAGTTTGGAGGTTGGTGTCGACTTTAAGAATGACCTCAGAATACCTCGTTGATCGGGTAGATAACTCTCGAATTAGTCATCGTGACCAGATCAACGATGGAATGAATGTGATGATCTGACCTCATTTATATTTGGAAGCAGTGACTGCATAAACAAACATGGCGTCCAGTAAACGCGTTTACTGGACGTGCTTTAGTTTTCGACAGATGATCAGGAGTCCTGATTCAGGACAACTCTCAACTGAGGGTACAGTACCATAAGTTTTAAATGCAGAGATAAATTGTTCGTCAACAATCACTGTTCGTAAACAATAAACCGCGAGCATGTCATGAGCAGCGAAGAGGTTCTCAGGATGATTCAGTGGAGAACGTGAGAATTTTATTCAGGAGGCCACCCGTCCTGGTGATGACCTCCGTTACACAACGGAATTCGATACGCTTGGTCTACTTCAGAAAATCGTCTGAAACACCTCGTCGTAGTTTTCTTTTGACCGGCAGGAATAGTCTCCTCGGATATAAAAAGATTTTGAAGTCGACTAGGATTCTGAGAATAGCACGTCAACAATTTCGAAGGCAGAACACCTGTCCATTCGGTAGATATTGCCGAGTGAACGATCCACTGGAATAAAAAACACCCCAATATCAAATGTTGAACACCGAACTCTTTCCTATACCTGCTGCAACAATGTCCATCTTGCTTTTTTTCCTACTGACTGGCCTACCTTCAGCACGTAATCAGTTTTGTATCCCAACGTAATAGAAATACTTACCGAAGTATTGCTGGGCAATATTGTTCGCTTCATCAGTTGTCGTGCACAAGATACTACGAATCACTGGAAATAGCTTGGAACGAAGAATAGCATTGGCTTTCAAATGTGAAATCACAGATTTCTCGAATTTATTTGCTCAAGTGCAACAAAAGCAGCTGGGCGGGTTACTCTTTAGCCACAACTTTAAAAGCTCTTTGTGTGGTGTATTCTTCGAGGGCAATTCCTTCCATGACCCCCCCCCTCCCCTCCTCCTCCTTGGGCATTTAAAATAATGCGCTCGTGGCTCCCAGAATACCGTTTATTGCAAGTAGCTGAAGCAACCAGTCGGCGTCACGCAGATCATGTAAAACGTGTTGAATGAGATAACCGTTGCGATTATAATATTCAAGTAATTGCAATACGAATCCCGAAAACCATTCCTCCCATTGTGCCAGATCGAGCTCCCATTTGTCGTTATCAACCGTGAATCGAACAAGGGATCCCAATACGCCAAGGACCACCGCGAAAGCTTCATGATTCCCCGTTTGAAATGAGGCCGAAAACGGGTAACGCACCCAAATTAGACTGAAATATCCACTCATTTGTACGGGTGAGATAGGTTCAATCAAAAACATATCGACACCTCTGATAGAACGCGGGTATTCTCCACAAAAATAAGTTATGAAGATCCCATAGCTCAGAGCCTCTGACCCCAAAAAGTAGTCCCTCGAATGCGTTTTCCACATACGGAATACATTCAGAAATGTGGTCAACATTTTGCGGTTGGATAATCCATTGTATCCAGGATCAGACATTGATACCAAAGTGTTTTGGGCATTGTGCGACTAAAGCCATGTATGAAGAAAAACCGCGGGACTCGTTTTCCACGGCGATTATGTATCTTAAATGGCATCAGAATGTGATTTCATCTGCCATCATTGTTGGCCGATTTCGCAGTACACGCACATGATGTTTGGACGGCTGCTAAGCCACGTATCTACGCCAAATGCAATCGTGGTTTTCCCATGTTGACGAGGGCAATACAGGATATACAATGGACAATCGTAACCACGGAATCCCTCTTGAATCCGTTAGACAGCGGAGATAGCATCCAATGGAACGGATAGTTTTCTTCCATCGGTGGCCCACTACTGACAGCGAGATAAATTGGACCTCTCTGCTTCTTTAGAATTTTATGAATCGATTGAACCTCACTCATCTCAGCAGATCGTCGAACAAGCACACTGGATTGTGGTAATACCCCTCTTTGGCGGCTTTACTAGAATGTGAATTTGATCGGATGATGGCTGGTCCATACTATTCTGCGTCAACAGCCAGGTCATCAAAGTTGTTGAGGGCATTTTCTGTTTTAGTCTAATCAAATCCTCAATCGCTTTGGACATCTCCCCTCTCGCCAGTTCCTGCGCAGCACCACCCTTACTTCCAAACCATTTGCGCTCACTCGCCTTGACCAGGAAGAGCTTCAGCTCGCTCGATCGACTTTCTTTAAGTCGTTTGGATCACTGGTCATGATCTTGTGTGTCAAAGTTTCCAGGTTGTCGCCGTCATCTGTTCGCACCGAGAACGCATTTTCAACCAAACTAACGATCACACAGTTGATTTTCACCAACATTGTCAAATTCAAGAATCTCATACAATAATGACTGATGGATCTTGCATCTTGGACAACAACCATCAATATATACATATAATTGCCGCAAAATCGATGAAGGTCGTTTGCTTCAAGAAGAATAAACAAAGCCGCGCTTTCACCCGGTATGCGTTTTTGTGTGGTGTGGTGTTCAATTCTACATGTGTTCGTTGGTTCTTGTTGTGAATGTTGCTCGAGTGTGATGGATTATTTAAATATGGCAGGTAATACTGCCTTCTGATAGGTTATTTGAGGAGCGTATGCTAATATTGAGCGGATGGGTCAACGCTATCGAGAACGTACTTCATCGCACGTAACAAAGCTCAGGAGATGAACAGGTGCGGAGGTAGTTGACTGGTAGGCGCGATGAGGTATTCGAAAGGAGATATCTGTAGTGGGATTGCTTAAGGGAGCTCAAAACATCTCGACGACCCGGCAACACAAGCGGTATTGCAGTGACCAAGATTTATGGTTTATACGGAGTTATTCCTATGTTCTTAAGTATACCTGCAACCTTAAAATATCTTCGCGAAATAAAAATATTTACTACGTAGTATGTTTCATTAAGTAAACGTCACGCAGGACCGATAGGAAATCCTGAACATATTGTGAGTATATTAAACATATGCACCGGAATAGCTATTGTATTGTACGTCCAGAAGTTGCAACAAATATACCGACCGAATACAGCCTTGCTGTGGTTGGCATCGCAGTTCCTAGGGCACGTACTGATCTTGAACGCTCCACCAATTTTACCAGGCACTTGAAGCAATATCAAAAGATCATTTATTGTTACACTACATATAAAATAAATTTTTATTACATTTTCCAAAATTCTAGAAGGCTTTTCTTTTTTTTCATGCATATTTGATGTGTGAGACCATACGTTTTTTCTACGTCTTAATCTAGGTTCCAACCTACAAAAACATTCATCCATCACTAGTCGAATGCTCGACTCCTCTGCCAATTCTCGCCTCCTGGACGACTCCACCATGGACGACAAGGTCTCCGTCGTGGACATGGACGACAGCGTTCCCCCTTCATCCTCCCCAAACTCTCAGATTCCGTCCCGACCACCGGTTTACGGTCGTCCTCGTCGGTCGTGGCGTCGGTCACCTTCCCAAATTTCGACGAGCTACCAACCCATCGACTGGGAGTCGGAGGACGGCGTTCGCTTCGACAGCTCCCGATTACGTCGCACCGTTAGCGATAGCGTGATAAACGCCAGCGACTTTGGCAATGGGAGGAATGGACCTCCAAATTTGAAAGTTTCGGGCTTACGGCCTCAAACCCACAGAAATTCGAGCTCCCGCAATTACCACGGCAGTCGAAGTGGGGGTGATGACAAGCTCACCCGTAAGGTGACGACGCCCATGCCGACGTTGCTGCATGGGAAGAGCATTCTCCAGATTATGGCTATTGGGTCGATTGAATCAATCGCTCGAGACTCGAATTCCATCGATTGGTCGGACAGTCTCGGGCCGGTGGATGAAGTTGAGGACATACCACTAATGGACCCGCACTATGATCTCACATCGGCAAAGATGATGAGGTTGTTCTCGTTATTTAATCCTGGAGGTGAGAACATTTTGGGTTAGATATTGGCTGAATTCTAGAAATCTAACTTTTGTTTTTTTTTATTCAGAGGACGGAATGGTGTCGTATGAAGGTTTTCGCTGTGGTTTGGAGGCCATGGGTATCGCCTGTGGTGACGACGACCAGTTTCAAACGTTTATTGACAAAGTGGATGATGATAAGAGCGGTGGAATCACGTATGAGGAGTTCTTGTTCGCTATCCAGGAGATCAAACTCGCGCAGCTTTTCAATAAGGATTTTCTACGCAACATGCCGCCAGAATACTCTCATATAAAGCGCAGAAAGGTGGGAAATGCAGTACTGGGATCTATCGAGTACTCCCCCGACCGTATTCGCAGTGTGTATCCGATTGACCAAGTGCAGAGGTTCATCTACTCCACCAAACCAGGGTGGGCTTCAGTGCGGTGGATCAACGTTGAAGGCATTGATCCTCTGCTCATGAGACGCTTGTCTGTACGTTATCGTCTGCATCCATTGGCTATTGAAGACACACTGGACGCAGATGTAGAGCGTCCGAAGTATGAAGAGTACGACGAACATTCCTCACTTATCCTGCAGACTGTACACGCTCGAGATTTGTCTATGGTTAAGAACTACCAAAGCATGTACCGTGCTTCACTTTACGTTCAAGATGACGATGTATCGCCCTTCGAAAGTATGACGAAGAAGGAGTTGGAGACGCGCTTGGAGCAACTTAATATCGGCTGTGTGATGACTGCTCCTCAGCAACTTAGTCTGTACGTTATGGAGGACGTGCTGATCAGTGTACAGGAAACTTCTAGTACACTCTGGTCGATGCTGAAGCAGAGACTCGATACTTCATACTCCAAGGTGCGTCAGCATAGTACAGCGTTCCTAGTGTATACTATAGTGGACGTTTGTGTGGACGAGTTGACGCCTATCACGCACACTTTTGGCTCGAAATTGATCATGTTGGAGCGGCTACTTAGTCTTGATCCTCGCTACTTCGACGTCAGTCGATTAGCGAGTTGCACGAAACAAATTAAGGGGCTTCAGGTGCTCTGTAAACCGATGAGTGAGGTCATCATCCAGCTGTCGGAGTCCGAAGAATTCGAAGGCGAGACGTTACGGTACTTCCGCGATGTGCTAGATCATATCACTACTATCGAGGAAGACTGCGATCGGCACCTGGATCGATGTCGCAGTCTCATGGAAGACTTCCACAACACTCGAGCAGCTCAACAGAATGATGTGAGCTACATCTTGGCTCTGGTGGCGGCCATCTTCCTGCCGGCACAGTTCTTAACCGGACTGTACGGTATGAATTTCACCAACATGCCCGAGCTGGAATACCACAGTGGGTATTATATCTGGTGGGCGGTTGTGCTCTTCATCGCGCTGTCTACGGTCGTGTTCTTCAAGTTTTACAAAAAGTGGCTTTAAGTTGTCTAGTTAAAGAGCAAGTCACAGCTTATTCCAGTTTTATGTTGGATAAAAAAAAAAGGTTATCATGCTTTTCATTAACCTTATTCTAAATTTGAGCCACCTTATGCAGGAAATCGATTGCTTCTCTGTTACGTTCCGTAGGTACTGGTAACTCAGGCAAGACCAAGTTTAAAGCCTCGTTAAACGTCGATACGGGACATGCAGTATAAACTGCTTCGAGGATAGCAAAACACCGATACCCGGTTAGCACTTGATGAAAAAATTCTAGTAGATCGTTCGCAGTACAACTCGTACAAATCACCTTAATACCGTTGCAGCGAAAATAGTGAAACAGCGTCTCGACCACACGGAAAATACTGAGCTTGCACGGATCGTGGCGCAGCAAGAACGCAACTGAGTCCGATTGACCTGCCGACGCTGCTTTAACTAAAAGAGTATCCGTGTAAATGAAGTGCTTCACACATTGCAGGTCTTCATCGCGACAATACTGACTATCATGCACCTGACCACTTTTAGCGGA